TGTCAGTGTTGAGCATACTAATAGTCTAACTCAGCATAACACAATTTCCCATGCTTCTAAATGTTCTTTTCCCCCTCTGGCTTCCAAGAAAGAGGTGATTTGTGACATTCATAGCTTTTTTTTTAGTTATGGGAAAAATAAGGGGCTGGGCTGCTAAGTGATCGCAATACACCTGCATCTTGAGAATTCATCGAATTAATCGGGTGCTGTATGAAGTACATCAGATGCAATTGAAAGCTTAGTGAATGGCTAGTATTGTAACATCAGAAGAGGCGAGGGGTGTTAGGAATGAGACTCCCCCAAATATCCCAATATTTATGGAAGTTAGTCTATCTTTAAATACCCAGAAGCTGTCCCTACCACTCCAGAAAAGCAGTGAAGAGAAGAGAAGGCTGTTACAATGGAAGAGCAGTCTCTGCAGTTGACATCCCTCAGAGGTGTGGAAAAATGGCCAGAGAAGATCTATCCTTCCAGTGAGCACTCAGGGTTGATTTCCTTCAGAATGGATCAGTTGGATATTCTTGCAGTCCATGGGACTCTCAAGAGTCTCCTCCAGCACCAGAATTCAAAAGCATCCATTCTTCAGCGATCAGCTTTCTTGATGGTCCAGCTCTCACTTCCATACATCACTACTGGGAAAACCATAGCTTGAACTAGACGGACCTTTGTTGGCAATTATAGCAATTTATAAAAAGAAGTAAATCACCCCACAATTCCTCCTCCTCCTAAAAATAATAACAATTTATTTATACTGCACCCATCTGGCTGGGTTTCCCCAGCCACTCTGGGCGGCTTACAGCATATCTGTAACATCAAGCATTAAAAACCTCCGATACAGGGCTGCCTTCAGGTGTCTTCTAAAATACGTTTATTCTGTTTGTTTCATTTTAGAATTCCTGGACCATCCATCACCAGACATGGGAATCACAGGGTGATTTGAAACATAATATAAAGTATACAGCACAAAATACCAACCAAATTGCAATAATTAATAAAATAAATCAGCAATGAAATAGAACAACGGAGGAAACATGGGGCCATGTACACCCTAAATTAATTTCACTAAAGTTATGGGAGAACAAGTATGATTACATTCCATCTGAAACAGGCTAAATACCCAATTCCTGTTCAAAAGACCCAGCCACTAACGCTGTTTCCATCTGTTGGTGCCCATTGGTACTGGTAAGGCAAAAGGCAGGGAGACCAACAGTTGAGTCAGACCCAATAATACGCAGAGCCAACTAATTTTGTCCCCATCATCTTCTCTTTGGAGTTCTTCAAGGGCAAAACTGAGACGAAGGATAAAAAGCTGGCAGGCAGTGCCATGCAATGGATATATTGTAATTAAGAAGGTCGGCAGGTAAGGTCTGGCTGAAGGTGGCCTGAGATTGGTGGAACATGGCTCCATTTGCCTTGATAAATTAGCCTCCACAAGTGACAACTCTCTTGAGAACTTTGCCCAAGTGGAAATATTAATAATTGGGCAATGGTTATCACAAACCTTATAGGCCAGGGAGGATCTCTTGGGGAGAGGGTACTGTCAGATGCTGTTGCGGTTGCTCAAGAGTAAACAGGCAAGACTCCGACCTGTCTTTTCCAGGCTTTATTCTTGGTGCAAACTATTTACAGTGAAGAGCGTCGTAAGTTCATGTCTGACTCAATAGCTAGCAGAATCGGGGAGTGGTCTGTTCTTGTACCTCCCACAACATAAAAGTTTTGTCACCCCCAGCCTTTTCCGCCCCTCCCTGCACCTCAAACTTCTGCGCATGATGGGCGATGGCAAGGGCATGCTTCCCTCCTCTCCGGCTTGCTCAGGCGTGGTGTTAAGGCTCCCACCAGCATCCTCTGGTCCTTGCACCTCTTCCCCACTAGAGGTGGGGCTTTCCTCCTCGCCGGAAGAGGAACTGCTTTGCAAGATTTTCGGAGGCTCCCGGTAACACAATTCCCCTTCTACCTCTCGCCTCTGAGCCAATGGCAGTTCCCTGACAGGTACACTATAAAATCTAGAGTTTTCAAATCCCAGTGATGGCTTATCTTCTAAATTTATAGATGAGAAGTATATCATTCTGTCATAATTATGGACTAAATTTCTGAAAACAGCACGAATAAACCACTTCAGAAATGAGCCAAACTGAAATATCTCCTGCCTTTGTCATACAATTCTTATTTGATGATTGAAGGCATGAAGAGCAGAGTTTGTAAACTGTGCTTGACTAAACCCCTTTCCTCACGGCACATCCACTCTAATGTGGTGGTGGTGGGAATATGAAATCAGACAATAAACTTCCAGAAAGGATTAGTTCTGGTTAACAAATGTTTATATGAGTTGAATAAGTTGTTCATGGCGATCTCCAGTGCCTTAAAATAAATAACCGATTTTAGCAGAATGTGAGGCATAGGCACCTACTGTTTAGCACCTTTAATTTATTCTTTGAATTAGCTGTCCCCTAGTGTTCAACTCAGGCCTAACCACAATGATATAGCATTTTGGTAAAAATATACAAATCAGTAACCCCGCACTGGAAGCTAAGATGGAGAAGATCTCCACGGCCACCATGTATTTTCCCTTGGTGCTCTGGTAGGTGGGAACAAAGGACAGCCAAACACTGCAAAACAGAAGCATACTGAAGGTGATAAACTTGGCTTCATTAAAACTGTCAGGTAATTTCCTGGCTAGGAAAGCCACAGTGAAGCTGACAATGGCTAGGAAGCCCATAAAGCCCAAGACACAGTAGAACATAATAACTGAACCTTCATTACATTCCAGAACAATTTCTTCAGTCATTGAGTGCATGTCAAAATACAAGAATGGGGGAGAGGTTGCCAGCCACACAGCACAAATAGTGGTTTGAATAAGGGAGCACGACAGAACAATGCAAAAGGCCAGTCTTTTCCCGATCCATTTCCTCATCCTGGACCCAGGCTTGGTCGCCATGAAAGCCATGATCACAGTGATGGTTTTGGCCAACACACAAGAAACTGCCATTGAGAAGATAATGCCAAAGGCAGGTTGTCGAAAGAGGCATGGTATCTTCTCAGGCTGACCAATGAATAGGAATACGCAAAGGAAGCAGAGCAGTAGGGAGATGAGGAGACCGTAGGTGAGGCTCCGGTTGTTGGCTTTGACTATGGGAGTGTCTTTGTGCTTAATGAAGATTCCAAGCACCAGAGCTGTGAGGAAAGAGAAGGCAAGAGCAAAAATGGCCAGATTGGTCCCCAAAGGTTCGTCATAAGACAAGAAGCTTATCTTTTTTGGAATACATAAATCCTGGCCACGGTTTGGATATTGATCTTCTTGACATTGAATACAGACGTCCATGTCTGGAAAAGAAAACACGGCTTTTGATATATACATTAAACAACCCTTAGCATTCAAAACCCTATCTGAGCATAGGGTGCTAGGGGAGAAATATACAGGGAAGAAACAACAGAGAACATCAGGCTCCTTCAAATGTCATGTTATTGAAGTCATTGGACCTTTTCTTTGGTCCTGAATATCTTTTGGTAATTGGTATTTATGTTTGATTTGTGTGAACAATTGTGATTCTTAACATTTTTTAAAGTCCTAGAGGGAGGCTGGTCCTTTGACATACCACAGACATCCCCAAACTCGGCCCTCCAGATGTTTTGGGACTACAACTCCCAGCATCCCTAGCTAACAGGACCAGTGGTCAGGGATGATGGACATTGTAATCCCAAAATATCTGGAGGGCCGAGTTTGGGGATGCCTGATGTACCATGTAACTGTGTTTGTAATAAGTTATGGCTGGGTCAGAAACAGAGATCATAGAAATAAAAAATAGTCTGGTGACACCTTAAGGACTTGTGCATTTTTATGGCATCAGCTTTTTTGAACTAAAACTCACTTCTTCAGAACATCTGGTCCAAAAGAAAGCTCAGCCTCATCACTGCTCTCCTTGCATATCACAGCTGGGAAGTTAGCATCATCTCAGTTTTTGTTGGGGTATACTACAATATCCTTTTACTTTCTATCTCAGATGAGGCCATCATCTTCATCACAACTGAGCAGCTTTGGATACTGTGAATCAGAGCCAGCAAGCATTTTTTAGAAACCTACTCTGTACTAATGGTCACATGTCTGTTTACATTCCAGCACAGTCTGCAGGGAACTTCCATTTTGTATAGCTTTTGCTTATGCTTTTTGCTTGGACACGAAGGGGAGCAGACATGTTTTTCATTTGTCCTGATGCTGAATAAAATGTTTGTAAATACGCTTTACATATGCCTCTCTCTTCCCTTCTGTTGCGAAGAGTTCTTATCTCTGCTGGCTTGCGTGCTCAGTTTCTGAAAGCTTCAGAAACTCGGGTCACAGATACATGCTGTTCCAAGGACCAGAGTTCACCGGCTGCCGGCTGGTGGGCTGGAGCCAGCTGGGGACCTGCCAATTGCCCCCATCTCCTTGGAAGCACCCCGACACTAATATCTCTTACCTGTTTTGTTTGAGATCTTTCCTTCTGGGCATGGAAGGCAATCATAGCAGCAGAATGGCACCCCTTCCTTCTTAGTCTTACTGGACCCCAAATGGCAATTGTCATTACACACAGAAAGAGGCGGCATCTGTCCATAAATGAAAGAAGACACTAATTTGGAAATACTCTCAGGAAATACATTTGGGGAGTTTGCTTCTCCCGACTCACTCTGGATTTTAAAAACGGGCTAAGGCTGGAATCACACAATGGCATCACTTACAGTTTGCTTCCCCTGAGTCCCACTTTCTCAACATTTGTAAAATGAGTCAATGCATTCCAAGATAAGCATGGATCCTACCTGGTTGAATTTGTCTGGCCATACAATGATATCTTCATAAATAGTGAGCACATTTTCCTTGGGGGCCTGTGGGCCTACGCTTCCAACTCTCACTCTGAGAAAGGATTGGTTTGGGAATGTGACCCAGTTGATAATATCAAATCCAGCTGCTAATGACCCGTTTTCATCAAAGGAAATGGTTTCCCCAGCAGTATTGTTAAAGGAAACACTTCTCAGATAATGGTGCAGCTGAAAGAGGTAAGTAAAAAGAAAAGAAAAAAGAAAAAAGGTGAAGGTTTAAGATACTTAAAAACACAGTATGTTTTTGGTTAAATAAGGTAAAGGTAAAGGTACCCCTACCCGTACGGGCCAGTCGTGTCCGACTCTAGGGTTGTGCGCCCATCTCACTTAAGAGGCTGGGGGCCAGCGCTGTCCGGAGACACTTCCGGGTCACGTGGCCAGCGTGACGAAGCTGCTCTGGTGAACCGGCACCAGAGCAGCACACGGAAACGCCGTTTACCTTCCCGCTATAAAGCGGTCCCTATTTATCTACTTGCACTTAGGGATGCTTTCGAACTGCTAGGTGGGCAGGAGCTGGGACCGAAAGACGGGAGCTCACCCCGCCGCGGGGATTCGAACCGCCGACCATACGATCGGCAAGTCTTAGGCACTGAGGTTTTACCCACAGTGCCACCCGTGTCCTTTTTGTTAAATACACGTGTGTATTTAAAAAGGGATACAAAAGTTTAATGGTAGGCTAAAAAAAGACTTGACGACTTACAACAGTGTAGAAAGCTCTCCTGAAGGAGTCTGCTCAGGATATTACCTGCCATCTCTGTTGATATGAAAATGTCCACCTTCTTTTATTTGCTCTTCCTCTGTGCTTGGAGTCGAACAGATAAATTTCATGCAGAGCATGCGCCACAGCATAGACAGCATTGTAGACACTGTAACTGTGGCCGGTCATGCTCATTTCAAAAACTGAGGCAGGGAGAGTCTCCAGCTTTTCCCTTCCAGTACAAATTCTCCCACCCATGTTGTCTACCAGAGGACCTGGAAATAAGCAGCTAAATGCACGTTCCCAGAAGACTCTGATAAAGTCATATTCCTTTTCCAAGGTAGGATTTATTGCATGAAGAAATTTATGGAATGTCTGCAGCTCCATTGAACTTACTGCAAATGATATAGCACCCTGGAGGAAATCTATGTCCCAATTACTCTGAAAGGGAAGAGATGCGAAGTCCATCTGGGCTGTCATAATCCAGACTTTTGTATTAAGTGGCATGTCCATAAATGTTGGAATGAATAGCAACATTCTCACAACAATCATGGTCTGAATTTCACCATGTGCAATCAAGACGCTAGCAGTGCTATTCATGATCATCTTTGATTTTTCAATTCCATTTTCCACCATTTGAGGAACGTCATCGGAAAAAGAGAGTTTGGGGAATTTTTCTATGAAGTCAAAGCAGATGCCACTCTGGGAAAACATCAGAAGCACAATCTGGGAAAACCTCTCTCCAGTGTCATCATCCAGATAAAACACCCCAATCCATGTCCACCTGAAATGAAGAAGTAACTGGAGAATCCCTTTATACTGGTGGTCCACATCTGGGAACATCTGGTGAAAGAAGACTCCTTGATCTTTGCAATCTACTACAAGAGCAGAACCATATGGGAGCTAAGTAAAGAGCAGATGGAAAATGGTATGTATGTATATATATATATATATATATATATATATATGTTTTGTGTGTACAGTCAAACCTTGGTTGTTGAACGTAATCTGTTCTGAAAGCCCATTCTTCATTTCCAAGATGTTTGACAACCGAGGTGTGGCTTCCGATTGGTTGCAAGAGCTTCTTGCATTCAAGCGGAAGCCATGTCGGATATTCAGGTTCTGAAAAACGTTCGAAAACTGGACCATTGACTTACGGGTTTTTTTGCGTTCAGGAGCCAAAATGCTCGAAAACGGAGCCATTTGGGAACCAAGGTTTAACTGTACTGTCAAAAGAAAACACATATGACTAAATACAGTGTTCCAATCTAGATTTCATTTTGTTTCTTTCAAGAACCAGAAGGGTTCAATATATTATTAATTTTTAAGGCATAGACTTCACATATCCAACAGAGATACTATTTCTCAAACCTCTCCTCAAAATCCCCTCAGATGTGAAATCCCCCTTCGGGGCATCAATGGCCCCATCCTTTGTATCCTAGCCTTTGTATTTGGACATAAATTGGGGAAGAATTTGCTTGATCCACCGTGATCTGATATTCTTGAATTTGGTTGTGGATTGAAACACAATTCCCATTGGGAGTGTGCACATTTCCTGGTTTTGCAATGCATTTCCATGCACAGAATTCTGTGTTTCTTGTAAATACCATAAGACGCACCTAGTTTTTGGAGGAGGAAAACAAGAAAAAATAATATTCTGAATCTCAGAAGCCAGAACAGCTAGAGGGATCGCTGCGCAGTGATCCCTCTTGCTGTTCTGGCTTCTGGAATAGCTGTGCAGCCTGTATTCGCTCCATAAGACGCACACACATTTCCCCTTACTTTTTGGGAGGGAAAAAGTGAGTCTTATAGAGCAAAAAATACGGTATTTAAACACACTGAAAAGTGTCCGTTTTTGTGTAAAAAGTGAGCACAAAAGTGAAGGGGAAGGAAAAATGGGGTGAAATGGTACACAAAGGCATGCAATGGGATAGAACAGGATGGAAGTGGACCTGTCTTTCAGTGCTAGGAAATGGCATGTAATTAACTGCTCAGTCCATCCCTATTATATATACAGTTTTCTAATCTTTACTAAATCTAAAATGCTGGGTTGGACGATGCTTTATTTTTTGCGTGAGCACAACTTACCTGTGGAATCTTGTAGTTCCACAGCATAATTGCCATATTGAGATCAACATCAAAATTAGGTCCCCCAATGACTGCTATAAGATTGTCCTGGACATCACACTTGTAGTTAGGGAAGAATTTGCCCTTTGTGGAGAGGAGTTCCATGGAGGCAAGATATGTTGCACTGGAACTGAAACCACTGTTATAGAGGTGGTAGCCAAGGCTGATGTTGGGTAAGATCCGGGGATTTTCATTTATCTCTTTCAGCGCAAATACCAAGGCCAGGATGTGCTGGTAGTGGTGAGTCAGTAGCCTAAAATGAGAGAAAATACGACCTTGAAGTGGCAACCCCTCTTCTCTTAATTTCAAAAATAACTTCTCATCTAAATAACTGCCTTAGTTAACCAGCATTTATATTTTATACAATTCAGAGACAAATTTAGTATGAACTTCACTTTATTATAGCCTGTTCCTGACATTTTTCATGGGGAGATCTAGCAACACAGAATCAGATGCCATGCTACTACATTCAGTAAACCCTCTAGGTTCCCCAAACATTTCAAATGTTCTCCAGAACATAGTACCTGCAGCTATTAGGGTAATCTCTTGGTAAGGTAAAGGTAAAGGTAAAGTTACAGGTAGGTAGCTGTGTTGGTCTGCAGTAGTCAAAACAAAATAAAAAAATTCCTTCCAGTAGCACCTTAGAGACCAGCTAAGTTTGTTATTGGTATGAGCTTTTGTGTGCATGCACACTTCTTCAGATACACAAGGTAAAGGTAAAGGACCCCTGACAGTTAAGTCCAGTCACGAACAACTCTGGGGTTGCAGCGCTCATCTCGCTTTATTGGCCGAGGGAGCCAGCGTACAGCCTCCGGGTTATGTGGTCAGCATGACAAAGCCGCTTCTGGCGAACCAGAGCAGCGCACAGAAACGCCGTTTACCTTCCCGCCGGAGCGGTACCTATTTATCTACTTGCACTTTGAGGTGCTTTCGAACTGCTAGGTGGGCAGGAGCAGGGACCGAGCAACGGGAGCTCACCCCGTCACGGGGATTCGAACCGCGACCTTCTGATCGGCAAGTCCTAGGCTCTGTGGTTTAACCCACAGCGCCACCCGAGTCCCCAATCTTGGTAGATTGGTGTAATACAGAATAAAGGTAAAGGTAAAGGTAAAGGTAAAGGGACCCCTGACCATTAAGTCCAGTCGTGGCCAACTCTGGGGTTGCGGCACTCATCTCGCTTTACTGGCCGAGGGAGCCGGCATTTGTCCACAGACAGTTTTTCCAGGTCATGTGGCCAGCATGAGTAAGCCACTTCTGGCGAACCAGAGGAGCGCATGGAAATGCAATACAGAATACTTGACATAAAATCAGGTTGCGATGAATATTGTTTGCCAGAGGAGCACAGGTTGCTAACATAGTTCAGATGCACATCATAATAACAATATAACAACAATAATAACAGCAAAAATATACCAACTCTTAAGGATAATGAGATTATTTAATATTAGAGGGAAAGTATAAACAATAAAGCAAATAGATTGCAGTATGTCAGACATAATTCTAATGAACAAAACTTTTCCTAGCAAGGGAGGGGTCTTTTGTTCAGCCCAACTTTTTAAGATAAGTGACCCAATTTGAATTACCCAGACTCAGTGCCGGATTTACGTATAAGCTAAACAAGCTATAGCTTAGGGCCCCACTCTCTTGGGCCCCCCCCAAAACAAAATTAAGGAAAAAAAATTGTATTAATTGTATTTCAGTTTAACAATTATTTTGATAAAATATGTATTTTGTTATGTGCAAATAGCTTTAGATACCTTTTAGGTCCATAAATTACCATATAGCATATATTCAACGACAAAAAAAACAGCGACAATTTGTTGTTGACAAAGGACAGCTGGACATAGAAAGGGCCCCATTACCTTCAGTAGCTTAGGGCCTCTTCAAACCTAAATCCAGCTCTGACTGGAAGAGAGAGGGTTAACAGATTCACAGTCATTGGACAGCATTCCTCTCCCCCCAAGGTTGCGAAGAGCTCAGAAAATCTCAGAACAGAAAGCACAGAGGGTACAAGCTCAGATTACAAGACGTAGGAGTGACGTAGACTAATAGGGAAGGAGGGGGTGTGAGCCTTAAATGGGAGCACCGCCATTTCTAGGAGACGTGCTCTTTGCCTGCCCAAACTAATCCATGTAATAATCCTTTAAATTTCACAGTTCTCCAAAGTCCTAAAATATGGGAAGAAATCATTTTTTGTGTTTTATTCTAAAACACATTTAGAACTGTGTAGAATGTAATAAAACACATATTAAAATATAAGTTTACAGGGTGTGTTTTTTAAAATCACAGATTAGTATGGAAATGGAACACAAATGATTTATGAGTGAACACACGTGAAATTGACAAAATATATACTGATCTGTCCATCCCTGTTTCTGTGATTCACTTGCACATTACACAGCTGATCAATTAAGTACCAGTTCATAGCTTTGAAAATAAAGAGGCATTTATGGATGGCAACATTTGTGAGAGTGGCTTATATAAATACTCCCTGGGGAAAAAGTGGATTTCTCCAAAAGTTAGTGTTTTTTGAAATTCACTGAAATTTCAGCTGAGTTAATGTGGAATGAAACTATCGAATTAAGCAACACAGAAGAACGAAAGGAGCGGTGGGCTAAGATAACTGGATGGAAGAAGAGACTTTATTGTAAAATATCAAAATATTAGATACAGTGGAACCTCTACCTGCGACCATAATCTGTTCTGGAGGTCCGTCCAGAGATCGAAAAGGGTCTCTGGGAGAGGCGCCATTGTGCGCAGGCGCGGGCGACGATCACCACTTTTGTGCCTGCGCAACCGGCCACAAACCAGCAGGTTACTTCCGGGTTTGCTGTGGACGTTGGGCAAAATGGACGCAAGTGGAGGCAGATGTAAGAAGAGGTTTGACTGTATTAGTAAGTAAAGGGTAAAGGGACCCCTGACCATTAGGTCCAGTCATGGCCGACTCTGGGGTTGCGGCGCTCAGTGTAAATATTGGGAGTGAATATTGCAGTGTAAATATTGGGAGTGAATGAGAATAAATATTGAATTTTTCATTTGCATAAAGATGGAGGACGGAGAGAGGACAGGGAAGACAACAGAATTTGAAATAGGTAAAGGTAAAGGGACCCCTGACCGTTAGGTCCAGTCGCGGACAACTCTGGGGTTGCAGCGCTCATCTCGCTTTATTGGCCGAGGGAGCCGGCGTCCAGCTTCCGGGTCATGTGGCCAGCATGACTAAGCCGCTTCTGGTGAACCAGAGCAGTGCATGGAAACGCCGTTTACCTTCCCGCCGGAGCGGTACCTATTTATCTACTTGCACTGGTGTGCTTTTGAACTGCAAGGTTGGCAGGAGCAGGGACAGAGCAATGGGAGCTCACCCTGTCGCAGGGATTTGAACCGCCAATCTTCTGATTGGCAAATCCTAGGCTCTGTGGTTTAACCCACAGTGCCACCTGCGTCCCTTGACTGTATTAAATAATACTAAAAAATTCTGAAACTAGATCAACAGTTGCATCCAATGTTCTCCACCGTATTCACAGATGACTAAACCATGGAGGTCTTTCCCCCACTTTCTTTTTCCCCAAGAGAGGGTTGTAATTCTGCAATGTTGTGGAAATTTCAAAATAATAATAATAATAAAAATCTGAAAACGTTTCAGAAAATTCTAGCTTATGACAATTCAACTCAGCTGTAACAAGACAATTCAGATAGTGCCTTTTATGATCACCCACAGGAGCTGTTCTAATACACTGAGGCAAAACTGAGAGAGAATAAATGTACCATTTAATTAATGCTTTCAGTCATATACAGAGCAGAATGCTGTCATGCAGAAGATTTTCCATATAAGCTGGAAATGCATATAAAACGAAGCTGTGAAAAAGAATATCAGGACAGATACATGATATGTTTAAGAAAACCCAACTCCTTACACAAGGTCATCAAAGAGCTCAGAAGAGAGACGTTGTTTGAAGTTTAGCGCACTTAAAAAATGGAAGATGTGTGAAATAATGCCACCAATTATAAGGTCTCCTGGCTGATAATATTTGTGATGGATAAGAAGAGGGTCACTAACATTGCATCTAGAAACAGGAACCATGCACACTGCCCTGAGGAAGTACCACTGCTAGCAGCACCAATAATACCTCCATCTTGCACAAAATCTTCTTGATAGGAACCGATCAATCTCTTCCTACACCAACATCGCCATGATACTGAATTGAACTGTCTGGCTTGAATGACCGCTCACTTGGATGATTGAAGCCAGGGCTGTATGGAGCAAAATTTCATTTATCAGAGCCTTGTGCGTCTCTAGTCCCAGAAACAGAATGGAACTCTCTTTATCTATTTATTTTTCCAGTTCTGAACAACACAGAAGATCTTAAATGCCTTCTTCCATCTGTGGTGTTTTGCTAGCGGCCAGCTGAACTGTCTAAGGAATTGGTGAAGTAGTAATTATAGATAATTCCATAACTGTAGGGGAGATAATAACTTGCTCAGAATTCTGGATTCTCTAAGATGAAAACATATCAATCACATTTCAACAGAGCTCTCTCTTGGTTCTCCTTAATGGGGAGACCAGGGACAGCATAGATACATAAGGGGGTTGCACTAGGTGAAAAAAATGCACTAGGTGAAAGGCCCTGATTCAGCAAAAGAGCTCATTTTTCAGAGGCTGCCTGGTTTGTCTCAGTGTTATGTCTGGAGTGGGGATCTTAGAATAATAGGCAGGTAGGATTTTGTTGTTGTTGTTTAGTCATTTAGTCGTGTCCAACTCTTTGTGACCCCCTGGACCAGAGCACACCAGGCACTCCTGTCTTCCACTGCCTCCCACAGTTTGGTCAAACTCATGTTCGTAGCTTCGAGAACACTGTCCCACCATCTTGTCCTCTGTCGCCCCCTTCTCCTTCTGCCCTCCATCTTTCCCAATGTCCGGGTCTTTTCCAGGGAGTCTTCTCTTTTCATGAGGTGGCCAAAGTCTTGGAGCCTCAGCTTCAGGATCTGTCCTTCCAGTGAGCACTCAGGGCTGATTTCCTTCAGAATGGATAGGTTTGATTGGCCATAGGAGCTCCAGATGGGAAGTTTGAATTGGCCTATCAGGTATGACCTAGGTGTGAATGCAGGAT